TTTGCTAACCTGCTCTTCAGACCTGTGTGACATAAAGCAAACGCGCTCTTCCACCAGCACAAATAGGACACATTGAGTTCATGTAAACAGAAAAACAAAGCAGAGCAGCGAAACATTTAGGAGGCCTCGAACATCTTCTTCCTGTCAGCTTTGTCCTCAATGTTCTTACGCCAGTCACCCACCGCTTCTGTAGGCTGCAGAGGACAGGAAGCAGCGAGTTAGTCCAAACAAACCGGGAATTTAGACATCTTAGTTTTATTAAAAAGAGAGGTGATTGAACTTAATCAGCTGATTTCTGCACTTTGACAGCTGACACATGGAAAACCAGCCCTTACATGCCTTACATGTGACTTTATGTTTCTAGAAGTAGAAAAATTCTGTAATACTGTAAAGACTGACTGATGAAATAATTGACAGGAATTAAGTTTTTTTTGAAAAAGCAGTCTTTTTTATGCTACTCCTAATAATTTAAAAAAAAAATATTAATTTCCTGAATGAGTTTTACTTTGCATCACAAACTGTGAGATTTATTCAAGTTTTTCAGGAAAAAAAACACACAAAAGATGCAGAAGTCTCCAAAACGTCCTCCAAAAACTTGTGGACCAAATATGATTCAGTTGTTAATTACAGATTTAAGAGAAATTAAGAAAAAAATGCTTTTTAATTTCATCTGTGAGCAAATGTGTGGGATACAAGGCTCCAGTGCTAGTTTCTGATCAGAAGTCCAAAAATGTTCTCTTCCAGATTGCCACCAAGTTTCCCTGGGTGTGCATATTATTTTTGGCTGTGTAAAAATTGATTTATGTTTGAAATCTGCAATATAATCTCAGCCTGGAATTCAAAGGCCACGGTGTATCGTCTAACCGCGTGACGCTTTAGCGTCCAAGTCACCAACTATTTTTTTGTGCACGTCAGAATTATTTTGTCATGAATGCCAAAACTTTGGAGAACATTATATATAATATTCTGATAGTGTAAGGTCATCACATTGATGATAAGCTGCTTCATAGATATTAAAACAGGTTTACTGGCACCACATCAGTAAACTCAGTAATGTAAAGAAAGAATAAAAATCCATCACTGCTGGAACTAAAAGTGCAAACATGTCGATTTATCCTGACAAAACCACCCTCTGTCTGTGAACTCACCTCCTCCTTGACCTCTTTCTTGACCTGCTTCAGGTTGGCCCTCAGGTCCATGGTCACCTTGTGTTTGGAGCCCAGCAGAGCCTGCAGCATGGTGTCAGCAGACATACGCACTTTCTTCAGGGCAGGCTTCTTCACTCCTATCAGGTCCACAACTTTGATCTTCAGGTCTTCAATCTATGCACAGAAAGAAAGTGTTATATTTACCCTTCTTTACTTTTTAGAGGCCACTCTAATCCTGTTATGCTCCCAGAGGAAGATTACCTCTTTGTCAGCCTTTTGCACCTTGGCTTCGGCATCGTACCGCTCATCATCGATCTTGTCGATGGCGGCGTGAAGCTTCTTGCAGAGTTCCTGTTGATGCATAAAGAAACCCCAGAAGATGATCTTCCCACAGCTTTAGAGTTATACGGCCTTCCCTTTTTATATCAAAAGTGCTGTTAAAGTAACAAAACCAGTGAGTAAATCATTTGTTTCAAGCTCATATAAAGTTTTAAACTACTTTTGCTTCTAAAAGTACACAAGACGGGAAGAGACATGCAAGTTACCGCATTGCTAGCCATGCCGATCAAAGCAGCTAGGTGCTAAAGGATGTACATTCCTCTGGCAGAGGAGTGCTAATGTTAGCAGGTCACTCGGTGCTTCACTTAACACTTTCAGGTAATTTATGTTTATGATGAATTACAGCAGCAAAGTTCAGGCTAGCTTCTCATTTCATTAGCATCCTTTAAGTGTCCAGTTTCCATGCTGCATTATGGTGGCACTTAAATGCCAAAATAATAATAACAGTCATGTTTCTACTCAAAACAACAACATAATGAAATAAATACAGTAATAAACAGCATAAATTAATTAATTAAATGAATAGGCTATTATAGTAGCTGATTGTTTCCTGAACTACTAAAAGAAACATTTTATTCTTTTTTATTCTTTCTTTTTTCTCGGATAAACCCTGATGTCTCTCTCACCATCAGGGCGGCCTGGTCTCCGCTCATGTCTGGAGGAGAACAGTGCTCGGCCATGTAGGCCTGTTTGGCCGTCTCGGTTTCCTTTTTCTCCTGCTCGATCCAGTTCATAGCAATCTGCAGGATCAAGCTCTGCAGGACAGAAATCATCATCAACCAGTCTCGTGTTTAATGGTCTGCACTCAAACATACTCAGCAGCAGAAGAACTCAATTTTTTTTCATAATCCTTATTTACCTTGAGATGATGCCTGCGGCTGGAAGTCATCTTTTTCCTGTTTGAGAGGAAGTTGTGATCATTAATAGTTGTAAAGGTTACATTTTTCTAATTCACATCTTTTTTGGATCCAGATATTAAACATTTAAAGGGAGCATCTTTAAAAGGAGACAGATTTCGGTGCATATATAAATGAGGTATAGTGTGCATCAATCAGACAGGATGTTCTTCGCACTTACTCAGACATCTTGGCGGTTTTTCGGGTTCACAACCTGCAGTAAGACAAACATAAAACTGAGTGACTGGAGGAAACGTTGAGGTCTTTCTGAGCCCTGCTGAACACCAGAGATGTTCAGATAATCAGTGTGAGGTTCTCTGAGATCAGCATGTTCTGCTGCTGTGATGGAGATGGATAGACGGGAATATTTGTGCCGTAACGCGATCTGAGGCCACAGCTGAAGAGCAGCGACGTCAACTGAACTAAACTGGGCTGGCCGGGATCATGTGTCACGTCTCTGCGGTTTACACGTGATCGAGTGAAGGATTAATTTGAAAAAATCTCCAGTGGAATATCATTAACTAACATGACATCATGAACTAGCTGACAGTAGCTAACCTTTAGTAACTATCCATAGTGTCTCTGAGGCACTCTGATAGCATGTCTTCATGACCAATTAATGTCACTTTTTGATTAGAAGATTAGGTTAGACATCTTTTTTTGTTTGTTTGTTTAGGCAGGGTATATATACATATATAAGATTAATTAATGATTCAAGTGTTGTTCAGTTTTTAACTTTATACATAAACATTTTCAGGGAACCAGAAAATATTTACCAAACCAGAATCAGATTTTTGTAATTCCAGGCCTTCTGATCAGCTCATATTTCTGTTGTACGCACATCCAAAAAGTCAATGAACAATTTGAGGCAAAACAGCTGAAATCAGGTCTTTGACAAGACTGAGGCAGAGCAGCTGAACACGTCATATAAATTTAGGTTTGACAGAAAAAGGTCAAATGTCACCAACAAATGTAAAGAAGCCACTTGGATTGAGTGAGGAACAGTCAGAGCTGTAATCCTGCTTTAAATCATGTCTTTTCAAAACACAGTCGTTTTGAGACGTGGCTGCATGCAGCATCTTTTTATTCTATCTGATAAAATAGAAGATGCTGCTCTCAGAGAAGCTCAAAGATGCTGGAGATATTAGAAAAAGAAAAAAGATAAAGTAAGGAAGATTTCTCACCTATTGAGAGGAGGAAGAAGAGGACAGGACACACTTGGTGGAAGAAAAGGAGACACTGCCAAAGCCACAGACAGTGAAAAATGAAATAGGTATATATGGTGGTTTGCGATGCCTCAGCAAATTGCCCAGATCCTCTTTATGGAAATGGATTCCCAGGCAGACCAATAGGCCTGCGAGCTCCTGAAATACACCCGGCCCAGCCCTGCTCTGCAAAACGCCCTCCCTGTGAGAACCCTTCATGCCTCCATGCTGTGTTTGTGTATATGGAATAAACTTAAAGGAGAATGAACAGAACACGTTTTATGTCTTCAGAAGGCTTCGGACAGATTTAATATATGTTTTGATCTTTAACTCAAAAGGAGCATTTTAAGCCCTGCAGCATCACAACAAATGGAAATCTTCAGCTTTCCTGTAAAACCCAACGTTAAATTATTATGTGTTTCCTTCTTTACTGTTTTATGTCTTTTGTTTAATTATTTAATTTGAATTTTTCTATGAAAAGTGGCCAAAATTTCAAATAACGAGGACAGTGTATGTGTTTTAAAGTTTAGGCTGCAGATTCCTCTAAACACCCGGGTTTACAAAACAAGTGTCTATTATTGGCTCCGAATGATGTCATTAAGCTTGGCTAGCCCTAACAGGGTCATCACAAAGTTCTCCCTTTGACCAAATAAGCACCGCCCACCTGCTGATCAAAGCTTTTGTTTGAGATTCACAGCCACTCAGAAGAAAGTTCCTAAAATGAGGGGCTACACCAAGCCCAGCTTAATTTAAAGAAGGATTATTTTGAGCCACAAATTACACAAAGCTACGCTAACATAGTTTAAAAATAAAAACATGGAAATGCTTCCAACATGTGAACATTTCTGCAACATGATTTTTTACTTGCAACAGGGTAAGATGAACTTACTTTAATAATCTCAATAGTCTAAAGTTTAAACTGTTTGGAATCAGATGTTTTTTCTTTACATGTAGAAACTGTTTGAAAACTAGAAAGATGAGAAGGTTGAATCGTTGCTTCTTTGTGTGGAAAATATCTAAAAAGGATTTTTTTTTGCTTGCTCTCTGAAAACATGATGTTTTGGGTTCAACAGCAAAAACTGCTTGAACTTTTGTAAATGTTATTGTGCATTTAGAAATGTAATTACTTTTTTAACAGAAGTATCATTTATATAGGTTTCATTGTTTGCTCTCTTAACTATCAGTTTTATAGTTTTTATGCTGCAGACTGGAAAAGTCATGTCGGAGAATCTCTTCTCTCAGCTGAAAAAGAGTTTTCCTCTTTCAGAACGAGCTCAGGTCCTCTAAATGTTTTTTTTCTAATAAATTTGTCAAAAATCGAATTTCTTTAAGGTGTCAGTGTGAAAATGTTAAGGAATCAATTTGAAGGGCATTAAACTGTTACTAAGTGGATACAAGTAGCAACAAATTAATCCTTATTTCAAAACTTTTATTGCTAACGATTCCATGAAAAGCTGTACATTTTGAACTGACGTTTCTCTGCCAGATGTTTCAACTGCAGACGAAGTTAAATTCACTTTGTTTTGGTTCAGTCTCTCTGACGCGCAGGGGTGACAGCGTGACAAAAAACAGCCAAAAAATCATCAAGAAACTGTCTGAACTTTTGTCCCTGAGGGTCCAGACGAGACCCAGAGACACCTTCAGTCACTCAGACCTCAGTCTTAAACGCCCCCGCCGACCTCCACCATCTCCGCCGATCCAGGCGGCTTTTAGGAGCTCTCGAACATCTTCTTCCTGTCGGCCTTGTCCTCGATGTTTTTACGCCAGTCGCCAACGTCTGCAGGCTGGAAAGAATGAGGAGAACTCGTCAACACCTCAAACTGAGACCAAACATTTTATATTTTTTATATTTTATGCTTGAACCTATAACGTTTAACCTCCTTGGTTGAAGTAACTGAAAAAAAGCAAAATATGTTCAAACAATAAAAACTAAACTGATCTGGAAACTAAATGAAACTAAACTGACTTCAAAATAAAATTAAAAAACAAACAAAATAAATAAATAAAACTAATTATAAAATCCAAAACTATAATAACAGAGCCATAACCATTTACACTTGTGCCTGAGGCTTGCCTGACTCAATGCAGTCTTCTCCCAAATGATAGCTGTGCATAGATGAAAACATGTGCAACAAATAAAAATGAAAATAAATAAATGTAGTTTAAGAGAAACACTAACTTGTACAATATTTGAATGTTTAGGCCTCTATGTTTTAATTTTCCTCTCTATAACGGTTCGCATGTCATGCCTAACTTCACTGCTGATGATCATTTTTTATGTGCATTGTAAAACTGTCGTTTTATTTATTTATTTCATTTTGTGTAGCAGAAATCTGATTTACAGTTTTAGAGAAGAGAGAGAAATCATTTAAATTTAGAGAATAATTAAATTATTTTATTCAAATAATGAGATCACTCGAGATCCACTGTATCGAGCTGCTGGGCCAAACGTGACGCGTGATAATGACGGAGAGAAGCTCTGCAAACCTGCTGAATCAGCGTTCACCTCAGATTAGTTCCTAACACGTGGCTACGCTCTGTTTCTTTCGATGAATTCGGTCCAGTGAGTTAAACTGAATCCTGAAGTTGTTGCAGTAGGACACAGTGATGATGAAACAAGCCGATTTCCTTGCTGTGAAAGCCTCGTGTCTCACCTCCTCTTTCACCTCCTTCTTGACCTGCTTCAGGTTGGCCCTCAGGTCCATGGTCACCTTGTGTTTGGAGCCCAGCAGAGCCTGCAGCATGGCGTCTGCAGACATGCGCACTTTCTTCAGGGCAGGCTTCTTCACACCGGCCAGCTCAATCACCTTCAGCTTCAGATCCTCAATCTGGAGGTCGAGAATCGTTCGTTAAAAGCTGGAAAAGCAGCCAGTCAGATCCGCAGGTACTCCGGCTTCCTCCCACACTCCAAAGACATCCAGGTTTCTAAGCTGCTGTGAACCGTTCACGTGAGTGTGAATGGTTGTGTGTCTCTCTGTGATGGCCTGCCAACCTGTCCTGGTTGTAACTATCACCTATGAAAACTGGGACAGACGTCTGCCCCCTACAGTCCTGAACTGACTTAGCAGCTAGGAATATAAAAACCATTTTAAACACATGAAACATGTTCCAGCAGCACACAGTTAACTGAGTTTCAGACTTTTATGAAAATCAAAAATGCCCTCATATCAAACCTACGCCTCCTTTTTCCTTCCAGCTCTTTCATACTTATCCAGCTGCCTCTCAACATGCATTATAATAGTTCCAATTCATACTTTTTGATTAAAAAAGACCTGCTGACTGTCGACACAGTCGTCACTCAGTAGTGTTAGAGCCTCTGATTCTGATATTTAGCACTGAAATCTACACCTACCCAGTCGAGAACGATCAAAGGAACTAGATCTGGAAATAAAGCATGCACACACGATGACATTAAGATTAAAAACATCTAAAAGTAAAGTGAGTTTTCCATAATCTCGCTCAAACTCTCACCTCTTTGTCGGCTTTCTGCACTTTGATCTCGGTGTCGTATCTCGACTCGTCGATCTTGTCAATGGCGGCGTGGAGCTTCTTGCAGGCGTCCTTTTAAAGTGCAGAACGAACGCTTTTCATTAGCAGTCAGCATGGATGTTCACTTTGGAGGTATTTATCTGAATTCCTCTATTTTATATATATTTCATGTTTATTTCTCTTTTACCTCATAGATGTGGTTTCTAGCTAAAACATGAATTTGTAAGAAATAAATGGTTGGCATCAGTACATTGCATTAAAATACTTTTATTTTGAAAATTATGAATTTCAGCTAAATGTAAAATAAGGTCACATAACTGCTTAGAAAATATTCATAGCTTTTTAATCACGGACATGTAATGGAATGTAAGATTTAACCAGCTCATAACACAAATGTTTCACCTTCCTCTGATGTCCTAAACTCAACTTTTTGCAACCTGCTCCACTACAATGAGGAAAACGCCCCGATGTTTTCTTGTGGTCATAAGAAAGTGTAAGCATATGACACAGTTTCGTTCTAACCGTAAGGGCAGCCAGGTCTCCGCTGAGGTCAGAAGGTGGGCAGTTCTCAGCCAAGTAGGCCTCCTTCGCTGCTGCGATGTCTGTCTTCTCCTGCTCGAGCCAGTTGGCGGCGATGTGCAGCATCAAACTCTGCAGGAAGACGAAAACATGCAAAGTGAAGAGAGAGCCTCCAAAAATTCAAAGGTTTTAGAAAACAAAAGGTTTAAGCCTCACCTTCAGATGATGCCTGCGGCTGGACGTCATTTTCTTTCCCCTGTGAGACAGAGATTAGAAAATTACCTTCAGAGCTGAAATGACCGACTGTAATTTTTCTGCATTTTGGTAATTCAGTTCCTTATTTTACGCAACACCTTTCTATGTCTACAAAATCTGCTTCTGCGCGAAGCTATAGATGTCATGGATCGCTGACCCAGGGTTGGGGGTTTGTTTTGAGTTTTCTTTAGCTTTTAATTGTGATCATCTTTGTCACATTATTCGGTGCTGGTTTCAGTTCCAAGTGCGAGCAGCTGACCTAGAGTTTGTCTTAGAGCTGTTTGTGTTCTGGTTTCACATGTTCTGGTGGTACTGCAGCATTTCTTGGTTTCAGACTGGTTTATTTGTCCCTCGTTTTTTCCGCTTCGCTTGTGTTTCTGTGTCAAGCTCATATGTCTTTGTCCAGGTCTCACTGTTAGGTAGTTCCTGTTTTATTTTGATAGTCCCTTGTCCTGTGTGTGTCATGTTCAGTTGGCTTGTTCCCTCGTTATCCTCTGTGTGTATTTATTGTCTCAGTCGTCCCTTCCCTTTTGTCATGTTCTCCCTTAAGCTGTGTGCCTCGTGTGTTTCGTGGCTAATTTCTGAGGTTCTGCAATAAAGCTGCTTTTGGAGTTTACATTTTGTCTGTGGAGTTCTGTGTTTTGGTCCTAAACCCGTCTGCCACACAGCAAACCTGACAATACAAATCCACCTGTCAGCACCTCTCACTCCCACTGATAAGTGCTTCATGTGGAATCATCTTAAAGAAGATGAACCAGAAGCAGGAGTAAGAAAAGAAGAAGAAGATGGGGGAGAGACAAAAGGAGGTAAAGAAGAAGAGGAAGGAGAAGGAGGAAAAACACAGAAGAAGGCTTGGAAAAAAGGTGGAAGGCAAGCAAATAAGGAGAAAATGAAAAAAGTAAAATTGTACTCACTCAGTCATTTTGGCTGTTTGTGATCTTCACACCCTGCAGAGACAGAAAACACTCGTTAGTCAAATGCGAGGAGTGAAAAGTAACAGAACCTTGACTCTGCCTGACTCACAGCTCAGCTGGACACACCTGTTATTGATTGGGTGCCCTTTGACCTCCAGCGAGAAACACGATGCGCTTTACTATCATGGAAAATCACACTGCCACAAACCAGCTAATTTTGGACAGGAGGGGTCAGGCACCCAGGAGCGCTCGACAGTTGTCCCCTCTGAAGACATTTCTGCCTGGAATTTAAGTTGTTGGAGCGAGCCAACGATCTGAGCACTAAATGTCACCGGCAGATGAACCGAGTGTGGCAGCGAGTGCACAGTGAGAGCAGCTAACAGATTTCAACATCCTGCAGCCATGCCAGGCACCAAAGTGTGTGCCCAGGTCACCATCTGGAGAATGAGGCTTTTTTAAAAATAAAGTCTGCATCCATCATCAAAATACAAATCCTCACTTTCACAGCCCAACCTAAAAGACACAAACTGAGTCCTGTGAGCTAAGAGTCACTAATTTAGCTCAAAGATGCATAGAAAGACTCAAATCATTTAGGACTGATTATAGAAAAACACACATTCCTTAAACTTGGTCAGCAGAACGTGCAGGAAACGACTCTTCTTCACCTCTAAATAAAACCATTTTCTCAATTTTTTTCATGATGGTATGATCTATATGATCTATCTGGATTTGATGTGATCTCTAAATGATTTGAGGAATGGCAGGTCTATAATATCCAAAAACTCCAACCAACTCTGTGTGCAGATTTAAGCTAAAGTGGTAAAACAAACGCATCTTCGAACATTGCTTCAAGCCTCAAATCTTGACAGTTTCGTCAACAGCGTGCAAGCTGCAAAGCAAACATCAATAAAAGCTCTGCAACACCAAAATCCACATTTAACCCGTCTGCATGTCCAGTATCGTCCGCTGTCTGAATAGCCATCGTAAGTGTCAGCTCCAGCTAACTGCTCCTTCTCTCTCTCTCTAAACACAACATCAGAGGTCAGAGGTCACAGCTGCAACAACATCTTTAAAAACAAAAAAATTAGTCCTTCGTGCTTAAAAAGCCTCTCCAGAATGCCCGGACCCCCCACCTCTTGAGCAGCCCTCCCTGTATTGTTCCCTGACAGTGAGTGAAGCTATAGGAGAAATTCTCACCTACTAAGCAAGACGAGGAAGAAGAACAGGGAGGGAGACACAGCTAAGTCTCAAACAGTAAAGATTAAACAGAGTATATAGGCTATAAAGTGCTGGCTCAGCAGGAAAGCCAGCCCTTTTTATGGTAGCAGAGCTACTTCAGACCAATGGGTCATCAGGCTCCAGAAATACCACGAGGAACCTCATAAATTTCTACTGGAGGAAGTCGCCTCCCTGGATGAGAGGCTGGACGGGAGGCTGGACAGACGCTATCAGGTTCCCACCCGCAGAGGCCAGCGGAGGGACGAAGCAATTGTCACACAACAGTCAAACGGAGTGGCTGACGTAATTCAATCTCACTGATTCCCACTGAGCTCTGAGAACAGCATTTGAAGCTGTTAGACACAATCAAGTTCAGCTGTCGTTAAAATGAGGCTTCAGCACCAAGTTACTCTTCACGCACATGACATCACTGATGTCCTGTCCAGGGTTAAGGTTAAGGGTTAAGTGTAGGGGTGAGGGGGAGAGGGAGGGTGAATTAAATTCACCCCTTTTTAAAATGTTAATGCCGAAATGAAAGTACAACTGTATGTCAAAGGTAACATCCTGTAATTTCAGCAAATGTCCCTATAAACTGTGGGATTGTTGCAACAAAAAGAACCATCACCCTCGATGGGCCACCGGTGACGTGGTGAACGTTAAGAGGCTAAACACAAAATCAAACCATAAAAACTGACAGCCAGTACAACTTAAAATCAGCTCTTTGAGCAAAGGGGGCCGTGGATTTTGTTCCACACCCTTGGTAGAGTCAGTGTGCCAAATACAGAGCAATCAAAAACAGAAAAACTACAACAAAACTAAATCTGACAAAATGGCATCAAACAAAGTCTGACTTAAGAAGACAGTTTAATACTGATGAGTTTTATGTGCTTGAAGCCATAATGCTGATGGTCATTTTGAAATTTGGACATATATTTTGTAAAATTTTTAAAAAGTCATAAATAAAAATCTAATATTTAAATGAAACAAATTAACGTGTAAATGTAAGTTAAAATGTATAAATGAAGCAAAACAACTAATTTGGCATCATTTTGGCTTTTTCCTCTTTGCTTACAGACGGAAATCGAAAGAAAATTTCCTTCCTTCAGTTTTTGGTGGATTACATTACAAATAAAAAAAAGAATTATATAAGCCATATTATTATCCTAACAGTGAAATAATGTTTGATGGTTTGATAATTATGTTTACCACATATAGATGCAACACCAGTATAATACTGATGTACTACACTGTGCTACTACCTATAATAAGCACATTAATAAGCACTAATATTTCAATACGAATGTACTAAATGTTCGATTTTGTTTTGACTATCCAAATATTAGTATTTGAGGGTTTTTTTAAAATGCACATTAAGTTTGAAATTCATCACACCAGGTCGCTGCCTATGAGAGGGAATCAGGAAAGTGAAAGTAAGACAGGGAATGTAACTTGACCAATCATCGTTTTGTTTCTGGTCTTTATGTTCTGTTTCTATCACTGAATGCATTAACGATGACTTATTGTTATTATTGTTGATTTATTGTTAATAGAAGCTGAAAACAGTCTGATTGACTGCATTCTTCCTTAGAACTTTAAATCAAAAGAGAAACACTTGAAAGTTTAGAAAAAATCAATTTCTGATGTTTAACACAACCGTTGTTAGCTGTTCCCCTCTCAGCCATGACATTCACAAATGGAAAGATATCTAAACATCTAAACATACCCGATAAACTATGTTGAGAAATCCCTACTTAATTTATACGAGTTATTTAACATAAAAACTGTGAATATTGTAAGGAATGAAGACAAATTGAATGCAGTGATTAAACAAAGAGTGATGAAGGTCAAAAGAGTAACAGCACTCACCATTTGTAGAACTCTGTGTGGCTGCAGCTTTATTGGTGATCAAATATGATTTGATTACAAACGATTGATCAATAACTTCCAGGTATGACGAAAAAAAAGTTGAGTCTTGAGTCAGATAGCTGAGTCTTCTAGGACTCAAACTAAAAAGAGAAGATGTAAAAGAAGAAAACGGAGCCAGCAAATAAAGGATGAAAGGGCTCTCTACTGACATCTGGTGGTTCAACATCAGCACAACACATCTCAGTTTCTAACTGCCTATTTGGAAATGTAAGTTATGTTAAAGTCATCTTACACCTGGAAAGAAGCTTCTCCTGCTTTAGATTTCTGATTGAACCTGATTGAACTCAGGAGTAAGTGAATATACAACAGCCCGTATAAATTAGCCCAACTTAAATTAGCCGTTAAAATAAAAAAAGACCACCTTGAAAAAAGTGCAGCTTCACAGCATTGCCTTATTCCAAAAAGAACATTTAATTGCACATCAGAGGCAACAGTGAAGAAGAGCTGTAACATCCCAGAATGAGCAAAACAAAAGTTGGATGAGAAAGTCTTTAAGAGGTCTCAAACATCTTCTTCCTGTCAGCCTTGTCCTCAATGTTCTTGCGCCAGTCGCCCACCACCTCAGCAGACTGCAGGACACAAACACAGCCCACCATCAGCAACAGTTAACTGTTTTTAGCTCTCTTAAACAATCAGCCTGCAAACACTCACCTCCTCCTTCACCTCCTTCTTGACCTGCTTCAGGTTGGCCCTGAGGTCCATGTTTACCGTGTGTTTGGAGCCCAGAAGAGCTTTAAGCATGGCGTCGGCACTCATACGCACTTTCTTCAAGGCTGGTTTCTTCACTCCGGCCAGCTCGATGACCTTCATCTTCAGTTCAGTGATCTGAAGTCAAAAGGAGAAGCTCAAAGGCTGAACAGAGCAGATAAACACAGACCCACGCAGTATACTACAGCACACAATCTGCTAAAAGGAGGACAGATGCACACAATCCTCCACCTCTTTGTCGGCCTTTTCCACTTTGACCTGGGTGTCGTATCTCTCCTCATCAATCTTATCAATGGCCTGATGCAGCTTTTTGCAGAAGTCCTGTCGAGAATTAAAAGGAAAAAAACAGATGCAGTTGTTGTCATATAAACAGCCCATCATGTAAGAGTGAGGTTGACGTTCTTACCATCAGAGCTGCCTGGTCTCTGCTCAGGTCGAGGGCGGCACAGTTCTCTGCAAGGTAAGCTTCTTTGGTGACGATGATTTCAGCAGCTTCCTGCTCGAGCAAGTTGGCAGCGATTTGCAGCATTAAACTCTGAAAGAGGACGACAAAGAGATTCCACATTATTACTGCTGTGTGTTGTACTGTTGTTCTTGATGCTGCTTCATTTACTTTTGGGGCCACGTAGATGCAGTGCTGATAATCTTAACAGAGTCTCACCTTGAGATGATGCCTGCGGCTTGACGTCATCTTCTTTCCCCTTTAATTCATAAAGACGCGACATATTTAAAACAACATTCGAGTATTCTGATGTAAACTCTTCACAAAATGATGAATGTGATATCCTGATTGGCTCTTTCAAAGTGTTTTACACAGAATAAACATACTCACTCAGACATTGTGGCTTCCTTCAGGTTTCTGACTCTGGTAATAATCCGAAAAAATGAAGAAGAAAATGAAAGCAAAGATTTGAGACAATGTAAGTAACAAAAGATTACATTCAGTAAATTCAATTAATTTATTACCTCCACCAAAGAGGTCATGTGTTAACCATGGGCAACTGAAACGTGTGGTGTGTACCATAATATATAAAAATCTTAAATGTCACACCACATATGACCTCTAAACTCTTCTTCAAGGTCAATATACTGATCTGAAGATCAACGTGATAATAATCCAATATAGAGCTGTTTAAAACTACGTTTCCTGCTGCCTTTGTTTGTACTGACAGCATTAGGAATATAAGGAAATATGGGAATTCGAAATCTATTCCAATTATAGTTTGAATCCAAATATCACGTCACCTCTGACCTCATCTTTGCACACACATCTCGTCTTTATTTTTACTGCACTACAAACTCCATAAAGTAGATTTAAAAAGAATAAAGAGAACAAAATGAATGTGAACGAAAAACAACACTATTCCCAAAAAAGTAAACTGCCCAGAGAGTGAGCTGAGGTTTGGGTGCCTGTCAGTTACCAAAGATGGTTTTACAGGCTGAATCGTGGGATGTTTTTTCACAGGACTCTGTTATCTGGATAATGACATACAAGCCACGCTTTTATAAATTTAGATTTGCTATTAAAATGCAACTTGGTGTAGAAATATGTGTTAAAATCAATAAGTACATCACAAATACTCTTAAAGTTCAGTTTTGTTCTGCTCTTTTTCTGATGTCTCCCTCTGGAAACTTCCCCCGACAGCCTCCACAGGAGGTTTGTGCATTTTTGGTCATTTAAGAATAGAAACTTCAGGGTGAATCTTGTGCCAGCTGGGCCACTGCTAATCCTGGCTCAGTGTCAAAGGTCAACCATCACATGTCGGAGAGTAATGCAATCCAAGGGGACGACATTGAGATGTGAAAATTATCAAACTGTTAAAAAAATGATTTAATTTATATTTTCTGTCATTTGATCCCAGCTGATTAACTTTAGGACAACACCTGAATCAGACTGCTGCAGGCTTTTACACGTGTAGTTCATTCACTTTCACATTTTACTAATTATTTTACTGGCAGAGACAATCGCTCATTATCTCGGTGCAGCGACATTTTCTCTTTCCTTTTGCCTTTCAGGAGAGCTCAGGTGGATGTGCTGGAACCATCTGATTTTTCAGTTCTTTGACCCTGCAGGCTGATAACTGTTTGAGTCGATTTATTTACAGATTCTAATGCAGTTGAATAAAACTATATGTGCATTAATCACGAGTTTTAATACCATGTTAATAATTTAAAAAAATAAGAAGGAGCTTAATTGTGATGTTCAGTGTGAAAACGAGATAGAAATGTCATTTAACCAGTTTGGAAAACTCATTTTTGAAACAATAAATCAGTTTCTTGTTTATTTATAAATATGGAAATCTAGTTTGTTTTTTTAATCTTACAGTAGTTTTATGTAGATTTTATAGTTTTATGCACATAATGTAAGGGAGCAAGATGGTAAAACCATAATATATAAACAGGAAACATCCAAAAAATATGAAAACTTTACTCAGTTATGATTGAAAAATTCAGTAATTCTGTACATAATAATTTTCTTATTGAATACATTCATTCAAGATTTATATATTGAAGGTTTTTTAACCTGTTGAGATTAATCTGCACCAGACTCACTAAATTGTATTTCCTGTGAGGATCAGCTTCACTTTAAGCATTAAGTAAAAGAGTTTCTCACCTACAAAGTGATGATGAGGAGGCCGGCAGAGACTGGCTGAAGGGCTGGGACGCAGTGAGGGAGTCACTGATTAAAAAGCTAACTCTGTGGGGTATATATGGGCTTGGACGGGGGTTTGGTTTCAACTTTTATGGCCATGAGAAGCCCTGAGACCGACCAGGCCAATCAGCTCCTGAAATGCCTTCATCCTTTGACCAGTCACCTCATAAATAGTCAATCCAAGGCGGTCAGCAGTCCTCCTTGGGACAGGTCAGGCTGACAGCTGGACATGAGGCACTATGCACAGGGAGATAAGGAAATGATGAGACTTAAATCATACTTAATATGACTTAAAGTTTGGGATAATTTCTAGTTTAGGGCATTCATAAATCAGCAAAACCAGCTGTGACAACGTCAAGAAATCAAAACCGAGGGGATGCAAAGAGAAAAAAAACATTTATTTTGGGCATCAGATTAAAGCATTAAATATTTGAAATAGAGTCTGTCTTCAACCTTCACTGTGTTTAAGCAGTTTCTTGTGATGTAAATGTTGGATAGATCAGAGATTCTGGAGGTTTTTTGCAATTATCTACAAAACGAAAGAATGCACTTAAACTGCACATACACCCTTTGTTATTAGGAGTGCGTTGCCTTAATAATTCAGAGATTTGTGCAGAAACATGCTTTAAAATACAATCAGAACTTCCGTGATCCACAGTATCTGCTGCTGTGGTATGAACTTCTGGATGCAGACATTGTTAAAATACTCACGTTACATTGGCAGCAACTGAAAAGAAAAAAGAGATAGAAATTTTAAAAACGGCAATAAATAGAAACAGTGAACATTTTCACATATAAGGCAAAGAAAGACAAATATGATAAAAACTGTGACTCACCTGAAAATGTCCATTTGAATGTGGTTTTGTAATCAACACAAAAATCCAAAATTTTTAGTAAAAACAAAAACAAAAACAAAAAACGTCTTTAAAAAACAGCAGGACGTTACCCATCCTGTTCAGTCAGTTAGCATCATCGTCAAAAATCAAAGCCAAACTCAAGAGTTTCAGAAGTCATGGATCAGTCCTCCCAGATCTGCTTTGATAGACTGAAAATCCTAATTTTACTTTTGAAACATTTTGACTGGATACATTTTCATGAGTTGATGGCGTTTGCAGAGGACTGCAGATAGAAAACTTTAAAGAAGTCCAGTGCAGGAAATCCTCTGCTGACCCCGTGTGGTCAGAGGTGTGTATTATCTGTTCTTCATCATGTTACTAGAGATCTGAGAAAAATCTCAATATCTATATATATATCTATATATAGATATATATATAGATATATATATATATCTATATATAGATATATATATAGTAATAATTAAGAATAAACACTCTACATGAACAAGTATTTTTAAAAAGTGTAGAGATCTTTCACATGACCACATACAACTACATTCTGCTATATATATACAAAAGGGAAGCTGTATTGTAAATGCAGTATGTATATGCAGTATGTATGCAGTTCTATAGTGTAATGTTCAGATGTATAACAAAAATTATGAATTTTAATTTTTCAATTCCAGAACTCATTTCTTGTTCATTCTTGTTATGTTGTCATTTTGTCAGTTTTTGTAGACTGTAACTAAAAATGGTCACGCAGAGGTTTTATCTAATAAATGATAAGTGTAGAGCAAGTTTCCAACATAGCCAGACTGTCGTGGTTAGACCACAGTTCTACACAGTGTGAGATAGTGGTGATAGTGTATTAGGCCCAACATTGTAATTTTGAGAAGAAAGGATCTGATTTAAGGAAAAATGTCTCTGTTAAAAGAAAAAAAAACTTTACAAAAATAAAAGTTTTCTTATCAAATAACCAAACTTTGCAAAGATGCATCAGTCTTACTAGACCACAGATAGCACTGCCTGTCATTTCTTATGGCAATAAAGATGTACTTTCTTGCCATAAAAATATAAAATCATTATATTGTCACAAGCCTTCTTCAGTTTAAAGTTTGGTTAACTGGAAGTATATCACATTTACCTACTGAAGGCTGTCTGGCTTAATGGGAATCTACCCAACATCAGGAGACAACTGTCAGGTCAGTTTATCTGATTCATTGAGAAACTGCTTCTCAATCCTGGAGTTGTCTTGCTTCTGGTAAATGTTAGCTTTCCTGCTAACACAGACATTTTTGCTTTTGTACATCAGAAACTGTAGCATTCTGTTTTTAACAATGCAACTGTGGTCTGATAAAATCAATTCAGTATTGCAAAGTGTGGGATTCTAGGTTACTCCTTTGAACATAGAAGGGCCCTAATCCACCCAGCGTAGATTCACTGTCCAGCTTTATATACAGTCTATAAGGGGGAGGGGCCTGTATTTTCTAAATACTGTGAAGTGTGAATTAAAAAGGAAAAGATTACATTCACTTTTCACAGCTCCCTGAACACACTATAACCCCTTCTATATAGTGATAAATGGCTTTTCCAATTGCAAGTCGACATCACTGCTACACTAATGATGCCGTAGGAAAAACATGGATATTGTGTCTTGTCCCTCACTGACATGCACAGCACTACAAAGAGCACCTTCAAACAGAACTCGTTAACAATCAGCTGCAAGTTTTTGTTTTCAATTTTTACGCTTTTTTATGTACAACTTCACTTCAGCATGTCGTCATTGCAGAAAAAAATGTACTGTGGTTTCTGTTCCAAATCAACATTTGCTTTAATCATGGACAAAAACATAGAAAGACGAGCTCAGCACTGTAAAGTTTGAAAACAGTGCGCTGTGCACTCAGTTTGCAGTGTTGTGCATCACTGAGTCAAAGACAAAACATCCAACGACAGCAGGGGTAGGAAATTAAATACATTTATTACAAAAAGTCTAGGAGCAGGAAGGTGCTAAAAGTGAACATCAGTACAGATGGAAACAGGAAGTTACACTAATGAAAAAAGTTTAAGCAGCTTTTACCCTTTGAAATTTATAAAGTTATACAAATGTACAATAACAAAGCAGGCTGAAACTTACAAATTTAATGAGAAAAGGGGTTTTTCAATTCAATGAGCAATGCCAGAAATTCCATAAAAAGTGCTAACATCCCAGAACAGCTACAAGAGCAGCGAGCAGTTCTTTAGGAGGCCTCGAACATCTTCTTCCTGTCAGCCTTGTCCTCAATGTTCTTACGCCAGTCGCCCACCGCCTCTGCAGGCTGCAGGAAAAACAGTGACAGTCAGAGACAGTCAAGACTTTCTAGTCTCCTAAATGAATCTTAAATTAAAATATTAAATGCAAACACTCACCTCCTCTTTCACCTCCTTCTTGACCTGCTTCAGGTTGGCCCTGAGGTCCAGGTTAACTGTGTGTTTGGAGCCCAGCAGAGCTTTCAGCATGGCATCGGCGGACATGCGCACTTTCTTCAGAGCGGGCTTCTTCACTCCAGCCAGGTCGACCACTTTGATTTTCAGGTCATCGATCTACGAGCGACCAAGCAGTTTAAAGGTGAAACCAAGTCGAAAGCAGAGCAGTGCGGACGCATTTAGAACCAGCGGCGAAACGCTGAAAACGCTTTACATTTTGCATGCACCCTACATCGGTGTTTTATCTGTAATGTGAGTTTATCACATTAGCAGTGCAGGAGGGGCTCTGCTTATGAAAACTAAACTGCTACTGCTACTCAGACAATGATATTTCTAGAATGTCTGATTTATTTATTGATTTATTTTAATTTGCCGATTACACAAATATCTCCGGCTCTGTGAAGAATTTGCAACAACTTTTGAACCTGATCAACTTGATCAGGACTCAGAAATTAAAAAAAGCTCAACATAAATTAATTATCACTAAATTTGAAAAACAGACAATTCAAAGTATTATGTATAAAATAAATCAAATTTAGATACTTAAATAAAATGTTAAGATAGAGTGAAATTAAATTCCTTGGTGTGACAATAAATGACAAAATTTGCTGGAAATTAAATATACAATATATTTTGTTGTTACTTTATTATCCATATTTAAATGTTAAAAATAAAACAGTCTAATCAATAATCATTATTAATGAGAAAAAAATTATCTCTCATGCATCTAAATTGTAGGAAATATCAAGAATAAAGAATAAAGCAGACATCATGCACAAAGAGAAAGGATTTGTGCTCATCCAGATAACTTCAGGATTTAACCTTGGTGCTCAGTATTACTTTCACTTCTTCCTGGGGAACATCACCATGGTAACTTACACTGCAGATCTAACCCGCTCTGTAGGAGGTAATGTTCTAGATTTGAGACTAATAGGTATGAAATAACCACAGATCAGTCAATTCTAAGGAAAATAACATGATTTCTGAAAGACCCTTGAAATATGGAAAGAAATGTGGATTCTCATGTGCAACAATTTATGATACTAATATGGGACATCTATTTATATTTGTTGAAATTATATCAAATTTGTATGTAGATCAAGCACAGAGTTCAATTTGTTCTTTATATGTCGTCTCTATTGACTCCCAGAACATTAAACAGCTGCAGCTGAACAGATAAAAACTAAAATTGTCTTGACTCAGCTTCAAATAGGCTTTTAATACAGTAGCCCTACTCCAATCTTACCAACCTGATTATTACAGTGAACCTTTGTACTTGATGCTTTAACTCTTGTGCAAATCTTGTGCAAGAAAGAAGGTGAAAGAACAACCTGCCTTCCTGTTTTGTTTACAACTATATCACACTGAGTGATTTCAAGGTTAACACGTTCTGTGGATGTGAAAAGCTGCCAGTCTGTTCTGCAGAGCAGGTGGAAGTGTACCTCTTTATCAGCCTTGCCCACTTTGATCTCCAGGTCGTACCTCTCTTCATCAAGTTTGTCGATGAGGGCGTGCAACTTTTTGCAGGTTTCCTGAGCGAACAGACACATCCAATGTTTTGTTACTTAGGACTCATCTTTAGTGAGGATATTATAGTTACAAATATCCTCACTAAATGAATATTATAAATAAGAGCTGACAAGAATTCGGAAATCCTCAAATAAAAGAACCATTGTCTGCATGAAATAATGATAAAGGGAATATTCAGAATGATTTCCATTCAGCAGCTTTCAGTTGAGCTTTGACTCTCACCATGAGAGTTGCCTGGTCTCCACTCAGCGCAGGAGGGGGGCAATTCTCTGCCATGTAGGTCTGCTTAGAGGCTGCAATTTCCTGTTTCTCCTTTTCAATCCAATTCACCGCGATCTGCAGCATCAAACTCTGCAGGACAAAAGAAAAGTCAAGAAGTCAGTAGTAATGAACCGTTGAGTGCGAAAGTGAAACCTGAATACTTTAAAATGTTCAGCAGAAACACCTTTGGCTGTATAGAGGTCTATGGGAAACTAGTCTTTGAGTCAGTTGACCTGTGACCTCAGAAAACACTTTGCTGTTGAGTTTATGGCTTATCTGTTACTTTTAACACTTGGAGTTCATTTTGTCAATTTTGTCATTTTGTCAATCGTCATTAGTATGTAGAAAGATAATAAAGTAGGGTTGGGTTCCTGATATATTGGCCTATATTTGCCAGTATGTGAGTATAATGACAGATAAATGAAAATTAAAAAATAAAATAACAAAGAGACAGGACACAAAAAACTATGCAAACAATGTTGCATAGTCTGTCCACCAGAGGGCGCTGTGTAATTAAATGTTGACAACAGGTGCTTGGAAGACCAGAAACCCCACCAGCTGATCTGAGCTGAGTTGGGGAGCGCACAAAGGACTGATCTACAGTTTGCTGTGACAATAAAGAAAGATTACTACAGCTGCATTGTCATATTATCTTACTAGCTCATAAATAACTACACATAAGCATTAGGTAACCCCATTTGCTTAATGTGGTTGACGTTACAGTATCAACATCCATCTTTTATTTACAGTCGATACAGAGAACATGCCAACTTTCTTTTTAAAGTAATAAAACCGTTCAAAGCTCAGAAAGACTGCCGACGACATACCTTCAGATGATGCCTGCGGCTTGAAGTCATCTTTTTTCTGTGAGGAGTGAACACAACAGTCTCTGTCACAACTGTAACAGCAGTAATTCAAACAGCTGTACAAACACAGCTAGAAAGAAAATGACATGAAGTTTTTAAAGTTTTCCCTCCTAATTTTCTTCTTTGCACTTTCATTTCTGATCATTTTCTTTCTTTAGTCTGTTTGACCTTTCCTCATACTTTTTCCCTGTTTTAGTAATTCCTCTAATTTTCTCCTTTATTTATTTCCTTCTTTCTGCTCTTTCCTGTATTTTCCTTTTCATTCTCTCCTCATTTTGTTCTCTTTTCTGCTTTTGTTATTTCTTCTTTTTAAATTCCTCCCTTTTTTCTAAATCCTCTTCTTTTTTCTGTTTTTCCTTCTTTTTTGTCAATTTTTGCCTTCCTTTCCATTTTTTCCATCCTCCTTTTTCTTCTTTTGCCCTCTCCTTCCTTCTTTTCCTCTATTAACGTTTACTTCCTAAGTAAGATCCATAGTAATCTTATGTTCATTTGATCCAGTGAAGTCCAGTAAAATACTTGCTCCACTAAAATCACTGATATATGATGAAGAGACAGCACTTACTCAGACATGTTTACGGTTTCTGTTCTTCACAATCTGTTTGGAGAAAGAAACAGAAGAAAAACTCATCAGGTTGGAAACATATGAGACACCTTATTTGTATGAAATGTGATCTATTCAGCCAGTTGATGAGCAGCTGAGTGATGACAGAGCTAACTTTGGGGTTGGGGTCAAATGTGGCCACTGACGCCTGCGATAAGCTCCTTTACAGGGGTTCATAACTAAATATCCTTGGGGAGTTAACACTTCAATTCCTTTCCCAGAGAAGAATCTTTCCAACAGAATGTGCTGCGGCAGCAGCTTTGCGGCCAACACCAGCGGGTAAACACACCCCAAAAACAAGGCAGCCGGTCCCAGAGTCAAGTTTCAGAAGATATATTTAATGAGAATAACGCACAGGTTTAGTTTTCCAGCTGAAATATGACACAAAGAAGCTAATTTAAGGCAAGAAGGTTTATAGTTTTAGGCTATAAAACTTCTAAAACTGTAAAACAAAAAGAAGAACTTTTATATTTGTGCAGTCCACAAATCAAACCATAAAACACTCAGAATCAGCTCCATGCTTTACCAATCAATATACTTAAAAAAAAAAGTAACAAACAATTACATTTTGTGATGCTTATAGCAGAGTGACTTCACAGCTTGAGAAATGTTTAACAGTGGTGGTGCACAAATTCCCTAAACAGTCAAAAAGGAAACTAATATCCATCATAACACCTCATTTTTTTCCATGTTTTTTCCTTCCATCCTTCAGGACATATAAAGATCCTGATCTTTAAAACTCAGTCAAACAACAAAATACAATAAAATGTACTTTGATTTTACTTTTAATGCTTCATAAATAGTTTTTACAGAGAAACATACAGAAAAAGAACAGATATTCCCAAACATAAATCTGTAAGACGCATCGCAGTAACAACTGTTCTGATTATTTTAGGAAAGAAAAGTAAACTCGTTCCATAAAATGCTTTCCAGTAATTTCAGCAACAGAAAACTCTTAAACTAACCTTGAAATCAGTAGAAATATCCCAGCTTTGTTTTTGCTTTTTTCTAAAAGAAATTAAACATCTAAAAAAATGAACCTAATGAAATAACTAAATAAAGAATGACTTCTGCAGATTGCGTTCATACATCTAAATTTTATCAAAACTTTCCAAAACTGCCAAATGTTCCCAAAATGTAGAAATCTTCATAGAAAGTCAAAATCAAATGAGAGCATCGTTCAGTCTCTGCAGCGCTGCTCAAACACACAACGCTCAGATCGCCCTGGTTCATGTTTCCCTTCAGTTATTAACAAACCCCAGAGGTCAGGACTTTCATCACCTTAGCGCTTTCCCCCAAAAGATTCCACATAGCAGTGGTTTCATATCCGTTTACCAGCTCTGTACAGACATGCAGAGAGAGGAGGAGGAGGAGGAGGAAGATAGGGAAACTGGTCTCACCTACGACGAGACGGAAAGTCCAGGAGGAGGGCAGCAGTGGCCAGTGGCAGTGGGAAGAAATCATCCCAGGGGTGTATATATACGAGGTATCAGATATGGATATGGTGCTCCTGTTTATGGAAATGCAGAATCCTCAGACCAATCGGTCAGCAAGATCCTGAAATATCATCAACCCCTTCCAACTTCACCCCATAAATCAGCGTTTATTGAGGAGGAGCCTGATTTCATTTTAGGACTTTGCTGGGTGCCACCGGGATGCTATAAAAGGGAGGAAGAGAAGGATGATGATGATTCACATTTGATATGAAACTATCAGAGTGCAAATATTTCACTGGGTGACTGCTGGAAATAGAGGGACAGTAAAAACATTTTTGGCTTGTTATTGAACTCAAGATGCTCAAATCCAAAAAGTTGCTAAGAAGTTGTGACAAAACAAACTTTTCAGGCTGGTTTTCACTTTTGAGTCATTGATTAAAGGATGATTTTTCTCTTTTTAACATCACTACAAGCAGTCAACACCCCTTGGTTTCATTGTGTTCCTTTAAAGATTTACAGGTCCAACATGATTGCTTAAATGTGTCAAACCTCTCAGGATTCAAGGAGAAAGGTCTGAAAATGCATTGAATTCATTCTTGTGAGTAATTTACATCAAAATGTAACTGTATCTATATCTATGTGATAGTCAAGAAGTCACTTTGTCTTCTGGAGTGTCAGACCTGGGTGTGCCAACATTGGAAACATGAGCATTTTATCACTAATTAGAAGGAACATTTCTCACAAAGCACACAACCTTTGAAGCTGGCATGAACTTAAATCCCAGCATCTCCATGTTGTCACCTTCATCTCCACAGCTGCCTGACTCGTCTGAACGCAGGACGGGGCTAAAGCCTGGTTTTCCCGGTAATGACAAAAAATAAACAATTCAATTTAATCCTCAATGGACCAAAATAAAGATGCAAACATTGCTAATGTGGGATGATATCTCTTGTTTGAGCTTACCTTCATGTAACTTCCGAAGATGGATCACGTGAAACCACTTCCTAAAAGCCAGAAGGGATGTGTTTTAGTCTAAAAACTAAGTTTCTAATGGATAATTTAACTTTTAAGTTGTGAAAAGCTGATCTGGGATTGTACCGGCGATCAAACTGAACGCTGCGATGAATGAAGAGCGCTGGACCAAGCGGAGGTGGCTTCCACAGCTTCAAATAATCAAACAGGAAAACTTTGATATAACTTTTAAACATTGCTCCAAACAAAGTGCTTAACAAGCTCACATTTCTGCAGACTATAAATACCACATTAATGACTTGCTGGCCTGCTTACTGTTTCATATTGGACCTCTTATCTGAGCTATGGCTCTGCCTTCAGAAAGGCTTCCAGATCTTTCTCTGGCTGCAGAAGGGCCATGTTGATCAAGTTACGTGTCTTAGATTGAGATGGAGGTTGTTTTTTTCTTGGATGACATAAAATCGCATCAAAGCATTTTACCTTCGCTATTTTTGACCATTTATAAACGATGGACACAGCTGCCAGGAGGGGAAGCTTCAAGCTGAGCATTTTCACCATCACTGGAGACATTATAAAAGATGCTGGTGGGACATAGCAAACACATCATTCTTCAGTCTCAGTGCTTTGGTGCATTCTTAGAAGCTCTCTTTTTTGACCTAGAAACTTTAAGGGCACACAGCGCTCCATGCTGAGATTTGCCCATTTTTACTTGCTTCCACAGCCAGCATGCACCTCTCTTGTTTAGCCTGGTTAAATCTCAGTACTTAATCACTACTTTGTTTTGGTTTAGGAGCAGTTGGAATCATGCAGTGGTAAATGAAACTTGTACTTTACGTCACATGTGCAGACACATATGTAAAGAAAAAAACAATACAGCATTCTCTGATTGTAGTTTTAGAGTTTTAATAAATATTGTAAATTAACAATATATTTAGTAACTAATGCTCAAAAATGTAGTGGAGCTGTGAGACTGACCAAATTCTACAAAGAGCCTTTTAGGAAATCAAATAAAAGCATAAAAAAAACTGGATTGCTTTGTTTGTTAAATTTTCACTGGCGATCACCTCAGGCCCACGAACGAATGTAAAAGAGTCTGCAGAGCCAAAAGCGTTCAGCAGATCAGACTATAGTCTTATAAGCTGACAGCTGAGGAGGAAGGTGCTGACGGGTCTGAGTGATGCACAGATGATGAAGAGTCATGCTGGGAATGCAGCATTAAGGGGCAACGTATGGGCTCAGGTTTACGGTCCCGTCACAGAGTCCAGTAGGTGTTTTCTATGAAAACACACGACCTACAACTCGAGCTTCAGGAACGCTCCATACCTCCGGTGTGACTTTAGAAACTCAAGTGAAGCGTGCTGCCTTTCCTCACTATGTGAAAGTATTAATAACTATATGTTTATGTTTACACGCAGTTTGATACATGCTCCTGATGCTTGTAGTAGTTTGCTCGGAGTCATCCACCATCTGTGTTCATGTGGCCTCCTGCAGGGATGGTTTGCAGTTAGATTTACTGCCTGTCATTAAGGCTTTCCCAGTGTTAAAATACCATGCATCTATCTAAAGGCATCTCGCAACCAGAGAAAACTGCTGACAGCGATAACATTTGGAAAGTGTGAACAGTTTATTGCTCTTTGTTTCTACTTCAATTTTACAAGTTAGATTTACTAAATCACTGATTGGGCAAAACAGATGTAACAATTTTTCATGCGATATATACAAAAAAAAATTTTTATTAATACACATAAGCCAAAGCCAGATGCCAGGTCATCCTCTTCAGCATATAACTGCAGTGTGTTAGCTGCACACTAAAAAGCCTTGTCCCAATGGGAAGAAAAACCAAACCAAAAAATAAAAAATAAATCACTACGTTGGTGATAAAAATGCTTTTTTAAATCAGTTTCTTTCTTTAGAATAACTTTAGACTTTCAGGCTCAGGCAGGTGATGCTTGGTTTATACTTCTTGTGGCAGTGATGAGAGAGCTGGACTGGAGCGATTAATGATGCCAGCATTCTGCTCACACCCCTAGAAGGAGACAAGCCCAATGCTTAGGCTGGACCGGAAAACTCACTCAGCAGGTGTGTTTGGTCTGGTGTCATTTTCCTTCAACTCACTCACCTCCAGCCTGACCTCCTTTTAAACCCCCTTTCTGTCCCTTCAGATTGGACATGTCGGTCCGTGCTGGCTGCCGACAAGATAAAGGACCGGACACAAAGTACAGTACAAGTGCTGCCAAAAACTCGCCAACACTGGGAGGTAAAAACAACTCCACCTCACTGATAAAACCACACAATCCTAAAGGTAAATGAGCTTTCTGGGTATGCGGTCATGGGCATGTGGTCATCCAACAGTGTGCAAGATGCTCTGGTTACAACGCACCGAGGTGCATTTCTCACTTTTGACTGTAATTTAAAATTGTCACCTGATAAGTGCAACGTAACACTTTAGCACCACAGCTTGTCACAGTAATTTTTGGAGGAGCTGAAGTATGTGACATTGAGAGCAGCTGATTTCACTAATTAACACGTTTGATTCAGAGAGGAAGAGCTAATCGGTGCGATCGGCTGCTGCTGCGTTGGACTGGAACTCAAACCTGCAGGTTGGACTGCATTACGCTCCACAGATGTACCACGAGCAATGCAGATGCGTGATTAGTGCATGCAGTGTTTCAACTCAGTTTTTATTCGCCATCTAGTGGACATAGTTTATAATCTTCCCAATGCACACAGAGTGGGCCAGTCCAAAACAAGGATGACATATAGTATTTCACATTAATGACAATATCGACGCTCATTCTAAACCTGTGGAGAAACTGGCACAGGTAAAAAATAAAGGAGGGCCTTTGTTTTACTTGATTCTTATTCTCATACTTAAAAAGACACATGAAATGCCAATAAGTGCTTAAATTATATGGAAATTTGCAGAAACAGATGAATGTTGTCTTTTGCAACACTAGTGCCTCAAGAGAGGCATTTTAAAGATGGACAAAACTTACAATTCCTGCGTTTTAATCATGGATGGAACCACGGCAGGTTTCAGTCATCTTTGGGGTAGAGTTGGACTTCATGTTGGCTACATCCATCTTTTACATACAGAGTGATCACAGACTGCAGCCTCCCATAAATTAGCATTGGACACTACTGAACCTTGGTTTTTAATGACACTACAATTAATAGCTGTTATTCCCCTCTTGTTACAATATATACATGCATACAATCCATATCATCTTTGTCAGAATCCATTGGATTCTACCAACGCTGAACATGGATGACAATCTTTCATCAAGACAGTATCTGTTATGGTAAAACAAGCCCTCAGATTCTCATCCATCTCTTACCTCTAAGTCCTGAAGACACTTATTCATGTTCAGGCCTCTGAGTATGACAGAGATTATGGTTCCCTTCCTGAAGGTGAGAAGAAGGATGTACTGTGAGCAGCACTTTTCTATGGGTTACTGCAGGTCAGCATGGAGGAGACTGTAAATGCTCCTCTCCTTGTCTGTTCTCTCGTTTCTAATTCTGGCTGGTGTGAATCTAAGTGGAGAGGCAGCTGTTATCTGAGGATATGATGCAGCCGTCAGCAGAGGTCAAATATAACCTGCGGTAACACTGAGCAGTGAGATGCCAAATGCACAAGACATTGTTGTCAAGTGGAGGAGAAAAGTGGATTAATAAAATCCAATCTCCAAGTGTAACCGTGAAACAAAATGACAGGAGAAACCTACACAGTGGTGTGAAAGAGAAATTTTCCACAGGATTCTTTTTAGTCCTGTGAAAAACTAAATCCACCCTTACTCCTTCATTAGGAAATAAGAGAGTACTTATCAGCCAGGTGCTGTTAGTTAAATGCACTTGATTAACTGATCATCACCAACTATCTGCACCTCTGCAAAAGCAGAAGTTTGGCAGTTTGCAGGTGTGGAGCTTTCAGGTGTGTGTTAACACAATAACACAATCATGTCAGGAGTGGACATGCCAGCAAATTCACCCCAAGGTCAGAAACTGTGGAAAAAAAAACCCTAGAGGTCCAGCTCAGTCTCTGCAGGCCTCAGTTAACATGTTAAATGTCAAAGTTTATGGCTTGTTTGGAAAGGTTGCTGGGAGGAAGCCTCTTCTCTCGAAAAAGACTCAAGACTTCTGGAGCAAAACAGGACCAAAGTGGAGATGCTTGGTCATAAAGCACAGCAGCACATTTGGAGAAAACCAAACACAGCATATCAACTATTCACACAGAGGGGGATTTATGTTTGTCTACCTTTTTACCCTGTAAAGACCAGTGGGCCAAACTTTCCACACAATAATGTGAAAGACTGGGAATATGGCTAAAATAACAAGGAGTCCAATGCATTATTAGTTATGTCTAAATAAAAGCTTTCTGGAGGGAGTGAATCAAGCATTTTTCATTGAACTAGTGACTCTGAAGCTTTCTTTCTTTCTGTCTTTTTCCTAATTGCTCCATCGAAGGAGTAAAATTATTGCAGTTTTCATACACGGGGTCTTCTGCTCTGTGATCATACTCTAAGTATCACAGTGTTTTGCTTCCTGCTGCCAGGAGTGACAGACATGAGAGGATGGATTTAAGCTGTGAAATCTGGTAACGATTTAACAAAATGCCACACGTGTCTGTACAGGACTGGGACCACCTGCACCTCCAGGTTTCAGCTGAAAGTTGAAACCAGTACTCCCAGTGGCATCTGCATGACTAACATTTTATTTGTTTATTTTACTACCATCAAACTACATGAAGACTTTTAAATTTATGGATATTTTTGACTTCAGCGTACCTTTGTGGAAAAGCATGCTGTGTCACATCTAAGTGATCGAATCTGCAAAGAAAGGAAAGAAAATCAAGTGATTTGGGGGGAAAAAAGCTTAAAATCTAAAAATAGTAAAATGCGATTTAAACGCTCACCTTTTCTGCTCTGTGGAAAATAAGCCAGACTTCTTCATTTATGACAAAAACATTTAGGATTCAGGTTTTGGAAGTCAGCTAATTAAATATATGCAGTTATTACTCACCTTCTAAATATTACTATTTCAGCTTTTTCCACAAGCAAGCCAACGGCTTTAAGCATCATAATTCAATGTTGTTTCTTCCATAAATTCAAATTAGGCAACTTTTTATAAAACATCACATTACTATCATTTTTAAAGTGTACAGGTAAAAAATAGCTCAGTTAGTATCTTAGTGCAATAAAATAGTTAAATAAAATTAACCTCCAGTGTTTTACAAACTCAGGAAAACTGGGAACAAGATGAGCATGAAGCTTTTCTAGTTAATGTGACAGCAAAAAGACGGTAAAAGTACATCACATCTTGTTTTAGAAACATGAAGTGATTTAGTACTGTTACAGTTCTCCAACGTAGGAAGCACAATTATTCCTCTACACTGGCCTTGTGCCTTATTTGATCCATTATAGGCTGTCAGGCAAATGCAAGCCTTCTCAAATTAGTTATTTCCCACAGGCTCTATAAGAACTATGGATAAAGACATCGCAATGTTACAAACCAGCTCCCAAAGTCCAGTTTTTGATGGCTCGCCCTCCTATCTTTTTAAAACCAGACGTCACAACTGAGAGATGCGATTAAGAAACCATTTTTATACTGCTGTCCACTGACGGGGTCCATAACTTTCATAAAGAGCATAATGTTACTTTAAACATGAGCAACTGAGCCCCCAGTCTCATTAGCAAAGGTCTGGAGGGGGTTCGCAACCTGTTTAAGGCGCTTCACATGGAAGCTACATGTGGGGGGGGGTCTTCAAATATTTGCACTTGCAGACAACAATCAACTGTTACATTCACAAAGCAACTAGGCAAAATAATAAATGGATGAAATTAATTAATAAATGAAAGTGTATTACAGGAAACATGTTGGCAGACAGAATAAGAGATGTAACTTGTGGGTCTGACAAGTTTCCAGACTAGTTTTAGGTTATAATGAATGAAACTTTAGGTCCATTTTATAAATTATCTCATTATAAGAGACAGAAAAGATAATTGTCCAGAATATGCTCATTGGCCACATCAGTGTCAGTTATCAGACTGACAACCAGCTTCCCAACAGGACTTTACAAACCACTAAGTGATGTAATGGTGTCTGTCCATCTTTTGATATTTACAGTTTATGGTAACAGGTCATGTCAGAGATCTAATGGTTCTTGGACAGCTAAGTGGCACGAAACACTTGACTAGACGTTCTACAATCTACATCAAACAAGGGAGAAGTGAAGGATTGACCAAATGAATGTGTGTAAAGAGCATGTTATAGTGTTTCATTTATTCATGCTGGGCCAGTTAGAATATGGGTCATGATTTATTTGCAAAATATGCGTCCATTGCATTTGGATTTTAACCTCAGACACTAACTAGAGTTTCAGGAAACGTACATCGTAGGCACATTAGTAAAAGCAAAAGGAGAAAAAAGTAGAATTGATTTATCTGACACATACTAACTGTAACACAGTACAAATATATCACAGTACAGTTTCAATACAGGCTAAAGCATGAAGGAAGCTTAGTGACGAGTATAATTCAAAGTGAGATATCCAAAAACTACAACCATGCTTCACTGGCATCAGTGCATATCACAGATTCCCTACATTTCACTGCACCTTAACACAAGCCTTGAATTAAAGTAAAGGCCATTTATCACATACTGTACCAAAACAGAAGCTTAGTAAGCACCATAATCTTCCACCAAACATATGCCTTTAGATTATGTTTACTAAGATCAGGATCTACAGATCAAGTAAAATGAATTAGAAATGCATCACTTTGGATTAAAACCCTTCAGTTAACAAAGACAGTAAACCCAATTTCTGTCCTGAAAGTCACCCTCGTATTTAGCTATCAAACATCTTCTTCCTATCAGACTTGTCTTCAATGTTCTTACGCCAGTCTCCCACATCACGCAGCTGCTTGTCCTGCAAACACAGACGATACTCTGTTAGTCCAGACTGAAATCAGATGCAAAAAGGCTGCTAATCAAGAAAAAAACTATTTGTTTTGATGGTTTTTCTGCCCTCTAGTGGCCAGAAAATGGATTGTTACAGTTTCTGAGGATTAAGTCCTCCTCAATGTTGAGAAGAAACTCTACCTCCTAAACCAGGGGTCTCAAATCTGCAGCTCCAGAGCCACATGTGGAGCTACTGTAGATGCCTCCCTGTGGACACCTTAGTATTGTAGGTCTTAGTATTGTTAATTAAGACCTGCTGTGCTGTAGAGCCCAGTGAGGAACTCTGTGATCCTGTTTCGCTGAGTGTAATTCTAATTTGACTGTGCTGGCACTCAATCCTTTAGCCTAAATGTGGGCTAATAGTCACAACAGCACAAAGGCAGCAAAAATACTAATGCTCTAGCTTCAACCAGTGGGTAAAGTAGGCACACTCCTCTTTTTTTCTGTCTGCGGAGTTACTTCTCATCGCTGATAAGGACTTAGACCTCACAGGTATCTGTGATTTTATTGAGTGAGGACCAAATGAACCAGGTAGCTGCTCACCTCCTCTTTCACCTCCTTCTTGACCTGCTTCAGATTGGCCCTCAGGTCCATGTTGACAGTGTGTTTGGAGCCCAACAGAGCTTTGAGCATGGCGTCAGCAGACATGCGCACTTTCTTCAGCCGGGGTCTCTTGAACTTTCCTCTCAAATCCACAATCTTGATATTGAGGTCCCTGACCTGAAGGAGGATTCTGAGGATTACTGACCTGACAGATTAAATAATCAATCATGAAGCAAACAGCAGTGACATGCAGGGTGTTTGGTGCTGAATTCATCACCAAGTACCACTAGCTTTAAAACAGTGTTGTTGGGTAATTAAAATGCTGACAGAAAAGCTACAGGAAGGAATAAGGATGTGAAATATTTCCAGTTAATGTTGCTATACAATTCACGGCAACTGCAGACCTCACAAGAAGGTTTGTTGTGTCTTCCATCAAAGTCTCAAGAGTGTGGAGGAGAAGTCAGAAAATGGTCAGTTACTCAATGAAAGCCTGACAAGCATCAGCCTAGCAGCAAGATCAGTATCTGCTCCTTTGAGGAGTAGCGGGCAGAGGACACAGGGAGGAGCCCTAAAAGGTGACGACTGCATGTGCATGTTTCTGGCCTGTGTACACAGAGCAGTGCCACCCAGATGGACTGCAGAGCCAGCATGCATGTACAAGCAAATGTGACTGCATAATATTATATTTGAAGTAAGCAGTTTTGTAATGTACTTATTCCTTAGTGTCAGACCAAAATCCAAAAGATAGGGAAGCTTCTAACATGAAAATAACCAAACAGCAACGGAAAATGACTGAAAAGGTTAAAAAAAACTTCAGGTATGTGATACTTGTTCAGAATACTTTTTTGGTCTTTTTTTGTTTTAAGGTGATCAGGAGAAAATACAAGAATTCATTTGGTTGATATTAAAATATAGCTTCCTATGTTTGTTGCAGTTTATACAGATATACATATACAGATACAGTATCTCTACTCGGTGCAAATAAAGACAAAAGGCCAACCTGGTGCAATGAAAAGTGTCTCACCTCATTCAGCACCATGTCCAGTTTGAACTCTATGCCGTATCGCTCATCTTCACTGATGATGATCTGCTCATGAAGCTTCTGGCACAGTTCCTAAAGTCAACATAGTGATAAAAGTTTTTTCTTTTTTAGATGCTTCCAATTTCAAAAACCCACATAAGAAATAAAATGCAATATGAAACGTGTCAAAAGCATAATTGTTTGAAACAGTGCAGTTTCTTCTCACCAACAGCTCGTCCCTGGAGTACGGCAGCTCAACAGGAGGACATTTATCTGCCAAAAACGTCTCTCTCTCTTTGGCCTTCACATTCGCTTCAGCGTCCAACAAATTACCTGCCACCACGAGCATGCAACCCTGAGGAGATTACATCATCACCCCATGTCAGGTAAGAGGAAGCACAGGCAAGCAGATGGGCATGTGTGAGGTATTTTGCTCTGTTAAGCTTATCAGTTAAAGTTAATCTTACCTTCAGGGTGTGCTTACGCCTCGCAGACAGCCTTTTCCTGCAGACGGAAACACAAATTATAATTGATGGAAGTAATGTATATTTGTGATGATCAATTTTATTGCAACCATAAAGATCGGTTTAATCCATTCCCAAAGGAAATAGTAATATATGTGGGTCACTGATGTGACATCAATATTTCATTGTCAAAGCAAAATGTCTGTTAAAATTAATTTCCTAAACGACATGTAGGTATTTTGATTTCTTTAAAAAAATCTTTAAGGTTTTATACATTTTCAGTGCATTGAAATAAGTGAGCAGCTTTATTGTGACTGTTGCAAGGTTACAAAATGCAAAGCAACAAAGTCAGTAAACAAACTCCAAAAGAGCCGGGCAATCACGAGGGAGAAGACACACGGGACTGACAGGAAACTATTATTTCTACTAGTACTATTTCTACACAAAAAGATAATCAGGGTAGACACAGTAGGGTGACAGGATGCAGTTGAAGATGACCAGTGACAAAGGGGCAGGAGGTGGAAGTAAAATTGAATACAAAACACAGAAGATTAAGGTATTAAAATACAAAATTGGACAATTGGGAAATGAAAAACAATTATAATGAAAGGAAAGGACAGACAGAGGATGTCAAGTCAGAGGGAAATAAAGCAGGGATTAATTAAAGTCTAGAAATACACAGTAACTAGAACTACACAGAGTACCAAAGATAAATGAAAATCAAAGATGAAATAAACAAAACTAAGAGCTTTTAATATTAAACAAGAATTAAAAACTTTGGAACCATCCAGGGATCGTGGAAAACATATGCATGTCTCATTAGTGACCCATAAATAATTTAATAATAAAGTAATCAGTGCAGCTAAATGTCACACACTGAATAAAAACAAAACCAAACAGTCCTTGTGAGGGAACCGCTTGTTCCTTTGCACACTGGCTGGTTACACAAACAGGGAAAATAAACTTACATGATTTACAGAAAATAGTAAAGTTTTTACTCACTCAGTGGCCATGTTTGCTGGATGATCCCGAGGTTACCTGACAAACACATAACAAGAGTTAATGCTTTTTATTGGAATCAATTTAGATACAAATATACAAATATATACATTTTAATGTCCCTGCCAGCAAAATGGTGACAGGGACACAATCAAAAGCAAAACTAGAGAAAAACATAAGTCACAAAGGATAAGGAGAGAGCAGTGGTCTGGAGCCACCACCTGTTAAACCATCACCTGTCTGGGTGTTATCTTTCATATTTATACCACAAGGTTTAGGATTGTGTTCATGGGAATTTTTGACCATTTTCCCCAAGCACATTTCTGAGGTCAGACACTGACGCTGGCTCACACTCTGCTCTAATTCATCCCAAAGGGCTTCTGTCGGGTTGAGGTCAGGACTCTGTGCAGGCCTGTCAAGGTCTTCCACACCAAACTCTCTCATCCAATTCTTTATGGACCTTGCTTTGTGCACTGGTGAGCAGTCATGTTGAAACAAAAGCTGTTCCCACAAAGCTGGTAGCATAAAATTGTCCAAAATGTCTAAGGGATTGACCCAAACGCCTGAAAAACACTCCCACACCCTAATCCCTCCTGTACCAAACTTTACACTTGCCACAATGCAGTCAGACAAGTACTGTTGTCCTGGCAACTGCCAAATCCAGACCAGTCCATCAGATTGCCAGACAGAGAAGCATGGCTTATGGAGATCACATCTCTACTGCTCTAAAGTCCAGTGATGGCGCACTATACACCACTGCTTTCAGCACTTTGCACTAACCTTAGTCATGTAAGGCTTGGATGCAGCTGCTCGGTCATAGAAACCCATTCCATGAATCTCTCTACACACTTGAGCTAATCTGAAGACCACATAAAGTTTGGAGCTCTGTAGTGATTTAACTCTGCAGACAGTTAGGTAGATGAGTAGAAGCACCTATGGTAGAGGTTGGCAACTTGTGGCTCCCTCACGAGCCACAGGTTACAATTAGGGTGAACGGTAATCCTGTTACTATTCATACTGGATGTAGTAATACTTAATGTATCCTCTCCCAGTTACATCTGCAAATCTGTCACCTGCGTGTGCTGCTCTTTTTCTCACGTTCTTTGGTAGGAGGAGCTAAAATGGCTCTTTTGATGTTGGAGGTTATGGACACCTGACCTAAAGTATTAATTCTC